TTCCCTGGAAGCACACGACCGGTTTCGTGGTTCTTGCCGCTCGTCAGGCATGTGTATCCGGTAATCTTTTGTCAGTTCATTCATATACTTGTACCTAGGAAGTGTATTTTCNTGTATTTTCGTCACAATAACCTTGTTTGCAACACCGGGTGATTGGGTCTTAGCTGCGCAGTGGATGGCCCACTACTTACGTTCTAAACCAGAACGTTTTCTACTAATCGATGAGGTAACTCTCTTTAACCTACTCAAATAGATTTCTGAATCTGTTTTCACGACACCGATTTAATCCTCTTCAGCGAAATGCTCCTCCTCGAGTGTTATTTTTCAATAGGGATTTTCTGTTAAGGATTTGAATGAATTCCAATGTGCTTTCCACTTTATCTATTCTTGGTTCCACAGATCCATGTTCTCAAAACTCACCCAGTGATATCCAACCCGATGTGGATAGCTCAAACCTTTCCATTCCCGATCCAGTACCAAAGCATTGTCCTGAATGCTTCAAGGAATTCAGCTCTCGATCTGCATTGGCTACTCACGTGCGTAGTGGCGTTTGCAATCCTGTACGATTTCTGAGTCGTTATGTAGACATGTCCAGATCCACCCGCACCAGCGGACGATTGAGGGCAAGGATGATTTTGGCTACCAATCGCGAGTTCCTCAGTTGTGTGGTGAGTGAAATCACCTGTTTGTTTTCGTTGTCAATGGCGACCCATGGAATCTAGTTCCTACACTTATTGCACTTATCGTTCATAGTATTCCTGTTAGTTGGTGGTTTGGCTTGTCTTGTAGATCGATATTTGCGGATGTTTACTGATTGCTCTACGAGGCTGTATCTTGGCATAACGTGATGACCTGCGGGCCTCCATGAACCTGCCAGCTTAATCGGGTTCATTCTCATAGCCACGGATCCAATCATGCCTGGAAGTCAATAAGTAGAGAACGAGACAGACTCAGTATCACAAAGCCATCTGATTCAGCACTAACTGGCTTCGTTTGAGCACTCGCTTTCATCCCAGGAAAGTAAAGTAGTAGCTTGTCTGTCGAAAAGGTTTCCGCTAGACAGACATATTAGCGGCGTACCTGAGGCTTACCTCCAAGCTGGAAAAAACAGCCAATAAGGAGTCGTCCCATCCGTGTTTCGCCTCTCATTGGGCGCATGAAACTAAGAGCTAATCCTGAATAGCGGACCGTCAATCTGTGTACCAGCGAACAAAAAACTGACCTTAAAGACCATGTTTGCCAGATCTCCAGAATCGTCCACACGGGTGCTTTAATCATCTTGTCGCTCTGGATCTACGCCCCAATGCCTTTTGGGTCAGATTTCTGACTCGAAGGTTATGATTAGTGTCTCTAAAGAGAAATCTTTTCCATCGGTATAAAATTATTATTATTATTATTATATTTCACACCTGTCTGAGGACAGACTGTGTGCCAGGCAAATCATGGTACAGTAATCTTAATAAAGAGAACGTTCCATGATTGGCTTGTGAGCTGAATACTGCCAGGTTGCCGAGGACAAAGCAGGTGAATTTTCTTGAGGAATCCACAACCGGAGCCTTCGGCTAGCCAAAGCCTGAACCACAAGGCAGCGGAGCGGTGTGTGAAAACCGCAGTCCATCGGGAGCCGATGTTCAGTTCATCCGATCGTTCGTCCTTCGGAAAGGGTTCAAACGTCCAAGGTGTGCAATACGCTTTGATGCCCAATCGAACCGATGACCACTGCCGCAACCAGGAAGTTGTGTGCAGTGTTTTAGGGCTTTTGGCCAACTCCCCTAGATGAACTACCACTGGTCCCGGTTATAGTGCCGGATGTGGGCTTTTCGTCCTCGCATCGTGGTGGAAAAACACTTCCGGTACGAGAAGGCAGTGAGTAGGGCTTCCTCAGCAGAGGCCCTTTGAGACGCTTGATCATACGGGAGCATTTCGCGAGGTGCAGGGGCAGGATGACCAACCGCAATTCTAGACACCCACCCATGACCACACTGAAACTTTTAGTCGGTATGAGATACTGCAAATTCTACTGTCCGAAGCTCCAAATAACCATTTAGAAAGCTCTTTATCAGCTTTCTTGTCCTTCCTCTCAACCCTAAATTACACAAAATTTTATTGGGGGAAAATCGTTCAGAGTTTACCGTGTAAGATAAGCCAGTGAGAACCTATGGAATTAATAAAACCAAAGCCTACTTGTAGTAGTTAAAGTATACACCCATCACGGATTGCGAATCCCGAATCACAAACCCCACGAAAACAGTAAATCTCACTAGCACTTGCACCCTAGTATCTCGCGTAACCGAGACGCAAGGAAAAGGCCACAGAAGTAGCAGTTCCTTTATTGACGGAAATTAAGAGCGTTAAATAACATGTACAAAGGAATTTTCTTGGTTATCCAATTATCCACCAATCACGTGCTTGTATTCTTTACATCATACAGTTTCTATATGGACCGCATGACTTCTGATTGGTCGGCACGATTGGCTTGTGGTTCGTTGTCCAGAAACTGAAACGTGTAGGCACTAGGCTGGCGTCATCTGGGAAAATTGACTCACCACAGTTGTCCATAAACTGTAACGCGTCGCTCTGTGGGTAGCGTTATCCCGTAGGCTAGGATCAACACACTAATCTCCAACTCAACGTCTGAACAGTTTCTCAGATGGGCCAACAGGTTGTCTTAGCTAAAACCCTTGAAAGTCAATTTAGACTTACGCTATTTTCTTGAAACGCGCACTGAATTCTTCGACCAAAACTCATCCTCACGCTTCGCATTGTGTGTTAGTCTGTGCTATACGACACTAGTGGCGTTTAGATACCTCGCTTCTAGATTGAATTTCAGCTTGTAACTGATCGTACGTTGTACATGTCAATGTTTCAGTGTGAGCCAACAGCAACAGATGAAAGCGTCATTGCTTATTTGTCATGTTCGTGTGGGCATCGAGTGAAATTAGTACGCCTGAAATAAAGAATAGTTTCTATCATAACCTTTGCTGCTCCAAAGGATTCCTGGAACGGAAACCCTAGCCGTCAGAATGACTTCAATGCTCACGTGGGATCCTCACAAATAAGAAGAGTGTCGAGACAGCCCACATATAATCCCAGTCAACCAGATGAATAACGATGATCACCTACTTCAACTCTGTTCCTGTCAAACCAAATTCTCCCATACGAAAGGACAACGTCCCACCTGGAAACCTATCTCTTAAATGCGATTGACCCACATCGCCATCAGCTACCGCTGGCGGGGATCCGTTCTCACTGGTCAACAGCCATGGATACGATCCACATTCTGCTGTGCGCCAGATTCTGACCTCGTCTGGTTACCAACCGCAAAAGAAAGTCACCGGACATGGATGCCCACAATACAATGTAATGGATAGTTAAAAGCGGCCCCAAACGGAATTGTCTCGTCGCTTCTCGGTTCAACCACCCGCCGAAGGATTCAATGAGCACTGAAAGATATTCAGACGTCGATCAAAACAATGATGGATTCCCGCATACAGTCAAAGCAGAAACAATAGATCTCCTCAATCTCTACTACTTTACTGGACGTTCGCGGAATCATTACTGTTGATGCTACGTATGAATAAACGCAAATCCGTTGGAACTCATTTAATCAAAAGCCTGAGGAATGATCATGATGATTAATGGACTGCAAAGTGTAAAGAGATAAAGAAGCTTATAGTTATGGGTAGCAGGTTCTGTCTTTTACGTGTAGTCAAGCACGCGGTCTCACTCAAAATAAACTTAAGTGATGTATTTATTTCCCTGGGTAAATTTGGAGAAAGCGCA